TTTAATTTAATTTAATTGGTCTGTTTGTAATCCAGAATATTTCATTAAAACAATCATGCGCGTCAATTTTATTGCATGCGAAGTTGTTGTTATGTCAGACGGTGACGTGAACCGGGCGGAACAAACTCCCACGCACCGATGATTCGTGCCTAGCGCTCACGATGATTCCCCATCAACGCAATGACATAATCTTTATCTGACGTCATAATTCCGTTTAGATTTGCGATTCCGTTAGGACGATTAAACGTCAACTCTTGCGTATTCATTGTCTGACTCTCTATGGCTCATGTTCCCTTCGCCCACACAATCGACTGTTAGACCGAAACCTTTGGTTGTCAATGGCCGGAAAGATACATCCTTTCTCTAATGGCGTACAGATAGGTAAATCCATCCGGATAAGTATGATAAAAACGTCATCGTCCAACCCAACACGTCGAATCCGTGTGACATGACTCGCGTTACCCTGGCCGGCAAAATCGACTGTCATATCTGATTGGACTACGAGTATGACTCACGCCTCCAAGTGACCAGCACCGAAACCCCACGATATCACGATGATCGGAACCAGGCGGAACAAAACTCTCGCGCACCAATGATCCGGTCGTTCATGATGATTCCCTACTCACGCAATGGCATAGCCTTTCTCTGACGTCATCATATCGTGCAGATTTGTAATTCCGTCAGAATGATAAACCGTCAACTCTCGTATCAGACCATGAAACATAGGACTACGTGGCTCTCCTACGACTGATGTTTCCACGTGGTCTTCACAGAAACCCCTTTGAATCTAGACAGGGCCACTCCCACGCAAGGACTTCGTACTGCGATTGGACAATGCCCGGGACTTGTGTCCGACGTCGTGTACATATCAAGGCCATGCCTTCTGACGTCATGATCCCCTAACAGAGAAAACTAATGAATAAAACAAAATTCTTCGAATAAGACATATTAATTATCATTTAACTTAATTGATTTGTTTGTACATGCTTTTTGTACATTATGTAGAAAAGTATTATTGTTTTGTAAAGTATGTGGAACTTTGTTATTGTTGTTCATTGTGACATTTTTGACACAGTAAAGTACATTATTTGTTAAAATGTTATTCATACACAATGTGCAATTTGTTTTATATTGGTTATTACATTTGAAGTAAGTTCATTGGTTGGTAATGCCTACTGTATTATATTTGTATATAAAAAGTGCTATATTGTATGTTGTAAATTTTATATATGACTTTTTGGGATTTAGAATTATTATTGGGTACAAATGTAAGAGTTGTCTCTCTTTTTTGTTTAGTTTTTTGTATCTTTAATAAGTTTTTTGTATAATAAGTCAGTCCGCAAGATATTTATTTTTGTCACCTATATTTTCTTTTCGTTGTCATAAACGTGTTGCATTGGCACTCGGAATTTTATTGATTCATTGTTTGTTTTAGTATTATTGTTAGAAAATTACTCATTTTTTGTTTTTTTCATCAATATTGACATTGTTATTATTTTTTATGTGTTATATTTCTTATAAACCATTGTTGCATCAAATAAAATGTATTTTGTTTCATTTTGTTGAAAATTGAAAAACAAATCGAAATTTCATGATTTCCCAAAAACTCTGAAGAAACTCCCGCAAGGTATGGGTTATTGTTCAGAAATGATTTGCTTATGCAAAAGCGATGCCGTAGAAAAAAAATCCCAATGCCTCATTACATTTTTAGGCGGAGGGACGGGGATCCTTAATTCGTGAAAGAGAATTAATTTGTCGTGCAATACAAATGATATATTAATAAAAGGAACAATTTCAGCAAATGAATGCCTCGTGAGTTATGTATAAGATACCTTCTCTTCATTGAAGACTGGGGCCGCGGCGGCCTAGTTGCTAAGGCGTTTGACCGTCAGCGATCACTTGCCTTCCAACACTTGTCACGAATTCGAGACCTTCGTAGGCAGTCGCTAGGTACTGACCGCAGGTCGGTTGTTTTTCTCCACCAACAAACCATGACGCGTCCTTAAATGACCATAGCTGTTAACAGGACGTAAACCACAAACAAAACCAAATCATTAAAGACCATTATGTTCGCCATGTAATATTTTAGAGCATCCAGAAAGGACACATAAAAAGATCAATCGAGTCATTACATATTACATATTGGATCTTAAATGAAAATATACATTTTGACAGGATTTTAAGCCAAAATTTAGAGGGCTTAATAAAACGGAGACAGCCATTTTGTTGCGCCATTCACAATTGATGACGTCACGTCATTGTCCATATTATTACGTCACAATCGATTTCTGACTAGCACAGCCAATGAAAAACGCCCAGGGTATATTATATTAGTGACATATGTTAATATATTACACAGGCCGAGTATGTGATAAATGTATATATGTCATTATAACATGCACATTTTTATTCTTCTTTGCCTCAAAAGGTAAACAAGCTAAATAAAACTCTATCAGGAAACCGCTATGCAAACAATTATATTATCCAATAAAATGCTTTAAATTCGTTATAAATTAAAAACCCATGCACAAGATTAAAGGATGTATACTGTCGATTTAATACATTTTGGTTATATGTACCATTATTACCCTGAGCGCCTCTAATAAAACTATGATTTCATTTGCCTTGTACAAGCAAGGAACATACTAACAGCTGTATGAAAGCTGAAAAGGGTTTGCATCAAAGAGATATTATAACTCGTACCAATAGCTGGTAAATGGTCAGTCCATTTTCAGTATAATCCATTTGCTTTTATTGTGAAAATTAAACCAACCCCCAAATCTGGCTAAAATTAACAGAACATGTCCGTCTGTCACTATATTGCACATTTGATGTTAACAGAATGCTAACGATGTAAACCTGTTTACTGTAAAAGTGGATTTTGTTCTCAAATCCTCTCATCCATCCTATCATTCACGAATTTTATTGTCTATGTTTTGCATTCACCCCCCGACAACTATGTACAGTGCATATGATTTATTTGTTTTACATATCTTTGGTGTCATCGGCTTAACGATTGTATCATTTTCATATGTATAATTACAATGCACATTTAAATTGTTTTCATATCACAGAATTCATCAATGCTATAAAATGTAAATTATTTATAATCCTCTGATTACCATTAACCGATCAATAACTGGCATGATGAAATTCCGAGTTTAAACACGGCACAAACATGTGAAACAAGCCTGTTATCGACATAAATAAGAACCTACAATTATTTTTCGTGTAACTCTATAGTTAAACAATAGTTGTTTTTCTCATACCATCAAAATGGAAATTGTCGCAATATTTGATCCTATTTGGTTTTGACATTTTCGCTATTAAGTCATTAAAGCTACTGCAATGATTATGTTATATATTGTATATTAACGCTGGTTTAGACAAGTGAATAAAATGTTTTTTTTTAAAGAAAGCAAGAATCACGAGGCAATTCATGTACATTTATTTTTCAGTAAATACAAAGCAAATATTTCTTTTAGCTGAAGGCAGACAGTTATCATTATTACACCTATGCCTGCCATGCTGTCATTATTGTTAGTCAGTCATTCCTCATCTCAAATACACCTCTGCTGGTCGGGGGTCGCGAAGGGAATACACCTGCTGTTGCCCACTGCATGTATCCTATGAGGCGACTGATGAGCGAACCCCTGCAGAATTGGGGTTTTGCGTTTGTGCCCTCTACTTGGGGACACAAAAGTCACTAAAATAAATCCCCTGCACACATTGCAGTATTTGGGATATTTATGTTTCTCTCTACCTCTACCAACCTTTTATTTCCTAGCGCCTTGATTGCTTTAGTGTTGTGCGTTCGCCCAAGTGAGGAAGGTAATTGGTTATGTCCCCAGGCTGAGACATACCTCAAAATGGTAGTTGTTATTCACTGCTTAACGTTCAGCATTAAGGGTAATGGCAACAACCGATTCACCTGTTTCCATGATAATGTGACCGGGCGGGCTACTGTGCCGGGTACCTTCAGCATAGTATTTCAGTAAGATAGCAATATAAATATACAAACTACAAACTATTACAAGGAGATAAATATAACAACATAACCTGTCTCCGGCACACATAGACACATGCATGCATACACAACACACATGTATTTAAACGACCTTAGCTGTTAAACCATATCAACCGAACACTTCAAATAAGTGTAAAAATGTTAGCGTAAGCTATGGTGTTGTTTTAACGATTTTAAAGCTAACACTTAATATTCATAGTAAATTAAGTAAACATTTCGCAAGAGACACAGATATCTATAATTGAAATATATGATATATAAATCTCACACCTTTACAAGAATCTTGTTGTTAATTATGGATTTTTAATAATCATATATTTTCATAAATGTTCACTGCAAGTTGCTCTGTTAGCATGACCAGAAGAAGTTGCGTTATCCCACCACGAATAATATGAGACAACCTATAGAAGCAAACAGTTCGGCTGTTTTCAGTAATCTCATAAGCAGTGACGACACAGACACTTCAATATCGAATATGGAAGAGAATATCTATATTAAGGTCAAAAGAAGTGAAAATTTGGAATATAAATATTAGGATTAAACGACATTTTTCAATTTTCATGTCAGTATGAATGCAAATCGGTTATATACATATTCCATGAAGACCGCAAGGGCCTCGTGGTAAATATGTATGTAACCGAATTGCATTCATACCAACATGATACTAAAAAAGAAAATGGCGTTCAAGCTTTATGTAATAATAAACTTATATAACATTTTTTTTTTTTTATTATTATTAAATACATAAAATATGTTTTAGTTAAATGAAACGTAATTAAAAACGAGGTTCAGAAGATGAAAGGACCTGAATGTACCTAGCAGCGATTAGGCCTTTATTGATCCCGGTAACAACAGTGTTTGCTGGGTATATCATGATTGGCTTAGCGCTTCTCACACATTTCATATTGTTAAGGGTATATGCTCACTTATAGACACCCCTAGTATTTGGAACACGCACAGTGTGACATCGCACTTGAGATAAACCGGATGGACATTGTTTTAGCATCTTAAACCGGACAGTGTCGTGGAGCATCTGAATCGGACATTGTGACGTCATCTCTGAAACTAGACAGTATTCCTCTGCTTAAGAAACTACGTAATATCACTTAATTCTTCATGCAGGATAATGTCATATATCATTGAAACTTGATAGTATTCAACAGTCCTTGAAACTGAGCATTGCTTCATAGCCCCTGGAACCAAACAGTGTATTCCAGACCCTGATATTGGAGAGTTTCTGGAATAATAGTTGCCATGAAAACCATCAAAGATTTCTTACAAGTCAACAACACCTGTTTTCTGGTAAACTTTGGAAGTGTAATAATGATGTTTATAGGTTTGTGGAATTCAGTAACTGCAGTAGGAGAATGTTCAATGTTAACATCTTCCCTCAGGAATAATCTACAGAACATGGCAATTCCTACTCGTCAATTGTGGACAAAAGCCAATGTCAGGACGCCATTCCGATGCGCGGAACAGTGTAAAAATGACGACGCCTGTGTGAGTTTCTTCTACAATCGGGACTCTCTATCATGTGTTGGACATTCCATAACATTGGGAATTACAGATGGATCCATGTCTGCCGTCGGCAATAAATATTATGTGGGTGAAGTCGGTAGGCAACCCTTAATCCTCATGATAAAACGTTCACCTCTAATATAATGAGATCTAAATTTACAAAAATTGCCAAATGTGCAGAGAAAATTCTTGCTTTGTTTGGCGCACTAGATCGACATTACTTATGCTTAGAATATGCGTTTTCTTTCTGTATTACATCATAAGGTCGTTGACTCTGCTGGTGGGCTTTCATGGGCCGCTACCTTATAGCTGAAATATATTCTGACACGGTCAATGAAATATTAGCCTTTTTGGCATGTATCTGTTGGATGTGGTAATTTCATCCCATCAAATGTATATACATGCAGCTCCATCAACAAATTATTTTTCTTTTCTCTATCTTTTCGGTATCAAAATATAAGGTTAGAATTGAAACCATTAGATTCAATTATAATAAAAAAAGTTTCCCCAACTTTGATTGTTAATTTGATAATATCAACTTGTTTATAATTATGTGTGTGTATGTGTTCTAATGTCTATGGCTATGTTTTTACCACTGTTTGCTACTATGTATGGATGGGGCTTAAATAAGCTATCCCTGCTGCCCCATTTATTTGTCTTTTGACAATGAAATTTATTGAAATTGATATTAGTTGAAGCATAACTACTCGTTGTATCCAAACTTGTGAATTATTACGTTATGAAGGGGTTCAAAAGTACGTTTCCCTTTTTCGCTGTTTATCTTCATATGTTTCGGAACATCTTAGATATTGACGTCCATCTTTTCACCTAAAGTACCATTGATGAGTCCTAGAAGGACGAAATATAAACATGGTGCAATAAAATAAAGTGCTTGCTTTGTTTGGCTATCTAGGGCGACTTAGTACATGTTTTAACTCATTCTCCCCTGAAGACACATTTGAACTCTTCCAACGCAAAGGTTGGAATAGTTCATTATTAAATTTCAGGGTTGAATGAGTTAAAAGGTGATTTTTCCTTTGTATTTCTTGTGGTTATTGTAGACAATGATACAAAGTAGACGGTGGGTAATACCTCGTCTTAATAATTACAAAACCTGTCCAATAGATGTTGTAGTAAGAAGTACCTATACGATTGATATGACTTCTTCCTGATAACAGCACCATATGATATATTTGTATATCTGTACGATACTTTTCCCAACTTTCACAAAATTTTCTACCATTTTTAATGTTCAAACTTTCTTTGTCACCTTTGGGTATGATTTCTCTGTCAGCCCTTAAAATAAGATAAGTGGCACGCTGAAAGAAACAACACAATGACGTCAGGGAACAAAATATATGACGCCATAATCAACTTCCGACATGAAAGGTCCTTTAAAAATGCCACATGCCACACTACTGTCAATGGAGCTGTGACTCAAATAATGGGATGAGAGACAAATTATGATCTCTAACCTTGGGGATGTAACAGACAAATCAACCCTCGGATCAATTATTTGGTTGTCTGACCCTGAAGCTGAGCCTGGAGTTTCACAACAAAACAGTCAATTCTAGGGTTGAAGGTTTCTATGTCACGTCTTCAAGGTAGTGGAAGATTATAGCAAGCACTTGTTTATTTCGTTATTAAATCTGATATATAAATGTTAATCTGACTTGTTATAAACAATATCGTTTTGGCACAAATGTTAAATGTGGCATCTGGAGGTACATTTCACTTTTTTAATAAAAGTTACACTACTATAACAAGCAGTTAAGCAATTAAAACAAATACAAATTTCTATTGTCCAGCTTAACCACTATGCTGGTCAGGATATACTCTATAAAAGTCACATCATTGGGCATCTGTTTTCTGTGAAGACATTCCTTTAATTATGACTTTAGATCAAGGAGATTACGCTAGACGTATCATGTTTATCTAAAGTCCAATCGCCCCCGAAAACTTTTTGTGACTATTTATGGTTAGTATAATAATATCTTTAGAACTTTATGGTATCTATGATAATGTAATAGCTCAAACATGTTTTTGCCAAAAAACGCTGCGAACTGACAATGTTCGGATATTCTTAGACAGTGCGCACTTTTCTTGAGAATTTGAGGGTTTTATTGTTCAATATTTTTTAAATGTAAGGAATCGAAGTTTAGCGTATTTAAAATAAGTTTCTTTAGGTCAAGATAGTGTATGATAGCCCCAAAGGAATAACATCATATTCAGGGGATATGAAATCATTTCTCAGTGCAAATCAAATAGTTTTATATCAATCGATTTTAATAAGTATGACAGAATTTCATGGCTGTAAATATTGAAGTAATCTGTCACACGAATAACTGTTAATTATCAAATATATCAATCCCTTGGTTGCTGTTATTTCTGGAGAATATTGATCGGGAAACAAGGCGATAGTTCAGAAATAGACATAAATATATATAAAAAAAAAATGATCAAAAATGCATGAAGATATGATCAAAAGTTATTGTTAAACGCAAAAGGCATCACATCCTAAATAAATGAGGAAACGATCTGAACTCAAAGTCGGTACAAAAAAGTTCACTCTGTCAGTACACAAAAACAAGATGCAAATTTAACGTATCGTTGTGTTGGGGTCGATGATGATAGTCCAGAAGCAAAAGAGTCAAAATTGCTCTAAGGGGTTGATGGTCCGGCTCTGGCAACTTTTGTTTGACTTTTGTTTTAAAGGCTACAACCTAAAATTCAATCGTTTTGTCGGATGCCAAGAAAAACAGATTATTTTATAGGATAATGGCACAAAAATTAGTTTTCACAAAAACCATTGAGGGTAATGGTTAGATCAGATGATTAACATATAATATTTACACTGTCTTCTATACCTAATGATGGAGTGTGACCACTGGTTCGCCCGTTGTCAGTATAATGTGACCGGGTGAGGCGTCCTGCGGGGTGTTTTCGGCAGTATGTTTCAGTGAGGTAGCACTATAAAGTCGGTATCAGTTCTGCACTATCACAAAGTGTCAAACACGAACATATCGCAGCCTCCCAAAACACACACGCAGAAAAAAACACCCTTTCGTGTAGACCATACTAGAATTAGTTGCAGCTAAGGTGTTGAAATTTTAAAAGCTTTTTCAATTCCCATAGCTATCCCCTATCAACTAATTTTAATTATTCATGCTCTTAATACTGTGAACTTGCGATATGTATATTCTATTTAAAAAGACGAATATACGAATATAAAAGGACTCGCCTCCCCTAGTAATGTGTTACATTAAGGTTAACGGGATCACGACTTTGATCTGGGTGTAAACTAAAGTATCTTCACATTAAATTATGTAATGTTGGCTATTAAAATGGATGTAAATGTAGCAAATCATAAAAACACAGAAACAAATTCCTGACTCAAATCGTTAATACAAACATAAACCACACTGTGAGATTTTTGTATGAGAATTCAAAATGTCCCTTCTCGGTACCTGCTGTCTTTTGCGTTTGAGTTTATACTTAGTTAGTTGTGTGTGTTGATGCTGTAGTATATACTGGCCTTTCACCAAGGCGGCCGGGGTTCGATTCACCGATCGGACGTGAAAAGGTATGGGGTTACATGCACGACCACTTGGTTTTCTCCGGGTACTTCGGTTTCCTCCCACATTAAGACCTACTGAGCGCTAACATTGGGGCTAACAAGAGTGATTTATATAAGTTAATATAACTTGTTTCATAATTGTTATATAATGTAAAATAAATTTACTTTTTATATGATTATCAATCGTGCAGACTCCGAAAAACTGATTTTAATTTATTTAAGTAAGGTAGAGTATTTTAGAAAGTCAATATGAATTTTAAAAAGATTATCAGCATACCTTAAATCGTCATTCATGGAATACAATATATATGCTAATTGTATTTGATTTGTTTTGATGTTTTGAACAACCTCAACTATAATGAGATGCTCTGTCAATTGTTTTATAAATCAAGGCATTTGTCATTTAAACGTCAATTATTTTCTATTGTTCAAGGTGAAGGTTATATAGGCGATGTCTGTACTACGTCTTCGGATTGTTACGTCACAGATTCGGAGTGTCGCAAAGGAGCTTGTTGGTGCGCCGCCGGATACAGCTTTTGGCCAAGTTCGAGATCATGTGTCCAATGTAAGTATATAGGACTAAGACCACAACTATTTTTACTATATGTTTCATTGTAACATTAAATTTCAAAATAAAATCCCACTATTTGATAGCCAACTTTCCCTCTAACCTGGTCAAAACAACATCTTGAGAGTCAAAATATAAAAATATCAACATAGCATGTTGGCCTTTTTCTTAAGATAATTTATGCATGAGTCCCCAACGTCAAATATAAACTTCCGGGTCAGGGATAAAGGTCAACGCAGGACTTTTCCCACAGCACTCTGCACCAAAACATACATGCACACTATATAAAATTGACACAAAAAGTGTGAGATTGTTATTTCTAAAGTATTTCAACACCAAAATTGTACACCAATATCAAGTTCTAAGAGACATTGTATATTTTTAGTAAATTACCTATATGTCTAAGGGATTTCATTCATGGGTACTGAACATGGACAGCATTTAATTGTGACTTCAGTCCAAGTGTGCTTTCTTGTACAGTTAACAGTTAATTCTGTAGGCAATAAACAACGCATCTTTTCTAAAAGCATAGAAGAGACTTCCAAATGAATTTCTGAAATGTGAATTCTTTCCGAAATGTCGAAGGCTGAATTGCACTTGGGATATTGCCATTATTACGTGTACAGTCTATACTGAAGTGTTTGATATGTGGTTTGTCTTTGTCACTGCTTTTAACGTGTTTTGACAACCTGTCATGTATTTCTTCTTGTATATTTTCCCTTTCTTTGGGCTAGGATGCTCACTCGCCTGTCCACTAAACTATTTTCGGTACTGATACGGTCGGCCACTTTACTATACTGGAATGTAGGGCTATCTCCAACTATTGGTGTTTCTAACCTTTTCATCCCCTAACTCTATTTACTTTTTATATATGCTATTTCTGGTAAAGTATTTAAATACAGCATATCTTTTTGTATTTATTTTTACCATTATTTTACTCATATTATGCTCTTTCGTGCTTGTTTATATTTGAATAATATAACTACTCTATATATCTAAACTTTTATTGCATATTTATATATATTGAAATAAGTAGACTTTGCTTTTCAATTCCACTATTATTTTTGTACAGTCAAGGTCAATATTATCTCTTTTTGTGTGTATTCATTAAATTATGCTTGATTCATAATATGATCTTGTAAATATGATTGAATTCCACAACTTCCTAAAGGAGTTGACGTTTTATTTACTGGTTCCAGCTAAATCTGGGGGTTTTAATTTTCCGATAAAGCGGTCCATTATTTATATTTTCATGGTCTAGGTACTATATAAATACAAGATTAAATACAAGATAGATGATAATTGAGAGTGGTCACATCCTTGTGCCTTTATACTGCGTTTAGTTTATGTAATTTACGTTCGATAAGGAAAAAGAAAGAGTTACGTGGCATTTGCTAATACATCATTCAATTAACAACGTAAAGTCATGTGATTAAGGCCTAACGATGGAATCATTGTCCGGACGATATAAATTGCAATAGTAGGGTCGTTCATATTCAATAGTCAATGCTCCAGTGATCTCTTCATATGATCTTTGCTTTTTATAAACATCGCTTTAATCTCCTGTTGATCTTAAAATCCACAGGATACAGGTTTCGGAGGTGGGTTCTTGTCAGTACACACATCCAATAATATTCTATAAACCTTAATTAAGACTACGATCAATATTGTATAATGAGGTTTTGTATTAGAGAATAAGGAATATGATTGTATGTTTAGATTAATACTTCAGTTATATTTACTGTCAAATATATCTTTTGTAGTAAGATTATTATGTATTTTGTGACATTTTATCTATTGCCTATGAAAAAGAAGTTGTTTTTAATATACACAGCGTATGACAATAGTCACTCTACATAATCAAATGCCATCTATAATGCATGTCTTCCATTCAGTTCTTCATATTTTTTCAAGTAAAACACAACGTTTCGATAAAGACAGTAAAAGAATGCAATTACAGGATATATCTCAATAATTGTGTAGAAATGTTTTATATGGAATGCATTTCTGTACTGTGAAACAAGTTCACTTACTAAATCAAACTAAATCACTTAAAGCAAATATATGTATAGCCATTGACGTAGGGTTCTGGAAAGCATGTTATTCACACTTGGAATAGAGCCAAAATTGTATCTGGTGTTTACTTAAATGCTGAAATGAAGTTTAAATGCAGCTGTCAAATCTATCTACTATAATGGATGATTATAAATAGATTTATTTTGCAACAGCGCTTAGAAATTTCGGGTCAAGTCAAAGACACGGACAACTACTGTGAAAACACTAATGTGTGAGGGTTTTAATTTCGTGGATTTCGTTGGTACTCTTCATCAACGATTGTATAGGTTCACGAAGTAATTACTGGTTTGACATGAACATATTCTCCGTATCAGAGACATATATAATATATAACCATATGTCTCTGTTCGTATGAATGGTAAATCGCCAGCTGAATGTATCATTAAAACAGTAAAATAGGACAGTTATAAATTATAAGGATTTTTTCATCAACATAAACTTCCATTTATACAAACATAATGCATGTATACTTACACAACTCCAACAACCCAGGTGGAGTATAAACTAGTCTGGAGTGGATGTTGCGGTATCTGTGCTGTAGCATTCAATTGAGGTGGCACTATAAATGATGCCGTTGGAAGCACGGTCCTACTACAAACAGAACACATTACATCTCCAGCGCACACACAGACATTCACACATAGAAAGATATTAGCCAGGTGGCATAGGACTAGTAGTTAGTGCTGATAAAGCAGCTCCTGCGAATTCCTCAATCATTGTGTTGATTAATATATATGCTCATTGTATGAATTGTATATCTATGTAATGTAAAGCGCTTTAGAGTGGCTTATGGTAGCTAGATAGGGCGCTATATCAAATGCTGTATATTATTATTTTTATTATCATTATTATGCATTTTCAACGTCAACAGAGAAGATCAATTGCTAAACATGGTCTAAGGTAATATCGTTTTCTGTATGCTTACGTTTCGAACACGGCTGACAATCGTTCACAGAATGTTTCATATTCCTAATGATATTGATTTTTGATTTCGTGGGAACTAGTAACCCAAGAAATTATGTTCCCACGAAAGTTTTTGGGCACGCAAAGAGGGTCCCACGATTTCACTGTACTTAAAAATCATGAAAACTTGATATACTGGATCACAATATACAGTTGTGGGAACGCACAACGCACCAAAAATACCGTGCGCACACCGTGCATATATCGTTCACACACCGTCCGCACATCGTCCACACATGGTGCGCACAACTGTGCGATTTAACAATCGTTCGCCCCGTTGTCCGCTTCTCTCCGCACATCTGTGCGATATGGTACACTTTGTCGATCAATATTACGGAATGGAAAAAATACGGAATGCTCGTATGCAATAATGCACTGTAATTTCTCATCACTATAATCAGAGACGTATACGTCTCTGCTATAATTAAGAGTATGTACAAGTTAACAATGCGTGTAATACAGTATACAGTGACCGTCAGACTGTCAAGAATGGGTTTGGCTCCTCGGTAAAAGAACAGCTAAATAACAATTTGATGAGTGACCGGAGTTTTACCTGGCCTGTACTTGACACATAGAGCTGATATATGATACCGTATGACCGTTATGAAAACTCAACTGGACGTTTAATATTTGTTATTTGCATTCGTTTTGGTCCATAGCTTCCTTCATCTGGTTTTCACACCTTTGCGAGTTACGTAAGTGCCCAGGGCGGGATAAACTACGGTATAGGTACAAAGTGGCAATGTTTACCTGTGTAGCCGAGACTGTGTTGTAAATTTACACGTGTCGCTTAAGGTCGTTTAAAAACCCCACAAAACACCATGTCTAAATTTAAGAAAGTATAGACAGAAAGATAAGCTAAAGGATGTAGTTAGAGTATAGAAACATACTAAAAATTCTTATTTTAAACGAAACCGTATATATTTTCAAGCCATTCCTTAATTTACACCAACCACGATTGTTATCGCCCAACGTTCGTCGATCGTCCGCACAAATGTGCGCAAGGAATGACCGTCCGATTTTTTATCGTTCGCTCTTCGTGCACACATCGTTCACACACCGTGGACACATCGTGCGCACACTGCACATCGTGTAACGTTGTGCGATCCCACAACTGTAGAAAAACTGAATTATGATTCATATTGCTTAAAGTGATATAATGGATGCTCAGATGTATTAAAATTGATCTGTTATGTCTGGTGTCCTGAATACTCAATTATGCAAAAAATATATTCAAAATTACGTTTTAGGCATGTTTGGATAGTGTTGCATCATTTTCATATATTGTTAAGATGTAAAAACCATACAACAACGTCTGGCATTTTTCGTTACAATTAGTCGGTAATTGATTTTCATTTAAACGCTATCAGATGATATCGACTCCTTTTAAGAGGCCACATTCGTCTTATTAGCGTGCATTGTGTATGATTTTTGTGTTTTTGCGTTCCAATTAGAATTCAATTTAAAAAAATGAGGAAAATAGGCAGTGACTAATCATCGTCCTGAAAAGTCGCCAGGACAGAAATCACAAGTTTTATTGCTGCATTCAGCACAGAGAGGACGCATGGATGAAAATTCTTTGAAAATAACAAAAAAAATATAATTGTATTTCTTTTTAATGATATTGTATTTATAAAATAATTGGCTTCACCATTCCATGACAGACATGCTATTTTAAAGGTTGAAAAGTTTGAAGACAAAAATAATCCACCATTCCTGTGCTAGGCATACAGCGACGTCTTAACCCCGGTTAATGTAGGATGTTTGAAGTTTAGCGCTAGGTAACGCCTCTCTCTACATCACAAAGACATGTTGAATTCGAATCTGTTTTGTTTTCATGACGAAATGCACTTGCGAAAAAGTAAGGGAGAAAACTTTCACTGTATTAATAGAGAATAGTATCAAGATAATGAATAACAAAGATCAAGATAGAAGACATATGTAAAACGAGCAGCATTATTAGATTATCCATATGTAAATATTAGTATGTCCACAGCACCATAACCGTTCTATATATTGATGTATTCAGAGATATTTTTAAATGACGATCTTATAAACTGTCAATTATAACAGAAAGGCATTAACAATAGCTACAGCCAAAATTTAACGTCTATGCGGAAAGACAAAAACGGGAACAAAAGCAACACAAATAAATAAATACATATAAATTAATTAATTATTGAAATGAATAAATAAATCAAGAAAAATATTTACATACAAATAAAAAAAATAATAATATCAAGAACTCATATGAAACTTCATATTTCATGTTTCGGCCAATTTTATGCATGGCCTCTTGGTTCAAAGATGATAACACACACATATATACACACACAGGTGATTACGCCTTTAAGATTTGATAATAGATACAGTATGCAGAAAATAAATTGCACTGCACCATACAGATGCTTCGTCCTCCTGTGACATGTATTTCACACAGCTTGTCACTAGTAATCAAACTCGAAAGCATAAAGCATCAGAAAGTCACCGGAAATATATTTCAGATTGATAGTATCGTGGGAACGCAGGGACATTCTGGGAAAAATTACAGAACAAAATTAATTCCTCAGTTAGTTATTGACGTTTGAAATAGATCACAACAGAATGTGGTCAATGCTACCATAGTTAGATCTTCTAGTGAAAACTAGAAATGTAATCTTATCAGTTGTAATTATTGACACATTGTAACCTCCACATGGAAATTGTGATCATTTGCTTCCGAAGTAGCAATATATATGTGAACTTTTGAAATTATATAGTTGACACAAATGTAAAGCCTTGAATCCTATTTCGAAAAAGTGACAAAATAACATGTTAATTTATTAATTTTATCTTTCAGACTGCACCACATACGGGAATGATTTCACCGAAGTGCTTGGTAACGGTATCTATGAAAATGACGAGGAGACCATTCTTAATGTAACATTTGAATCTTGTACTCAGTCATGTGTGTCGGCTACGCGGTACACGTGCGTCACGTTCGATTACGGTTGGAAGAACAGCAAATGCTTCCCCCAGAGTGTCACCAAATTCGACAAACCAACTGATTGGTATGAGGACAAACTTGACACTGGATACGCCCACTACCAGCGTGATTGTCTTTGAATGATTGATGATCAGGCTTGTAATTCCTAGAAATTGCACTGGTCATTCTTGTTACTGCAATGGTTATTCTCGCCGAACGGACAGTCCATCTTACCATACATGTAGCTACAAAGAATGTTTCTGGACGGGCTGATGTTTTTCATCATTCTTGTAACCATAAGTGATATTTTCTGTTGGCAAACGGCCTCTCTTACAATTTATTGTCCTGTTATTGCAAGGGGAAATTTTCTCAGGACAGACGGTTTATCTCATCATCGCCTTTTACAACAAAGAAGGTTTTTCTCTGGATGAGGAACGGTCAATCTCGCCAGTCTATTTACGTACTACTCTCCTGTTTGGAGATTGTCTACACAGTTAATTGTATATTTGGTCCATGATAAGTGCCTGAAAATTTTGTGATGTCTTTTGTGTTACTACGTTCTCTTTCTTCATTAAGATATGTGAGGCGGCATTAGCCGAAGGATGTATCCTGAACTTATTTGAAATGTTTTATCTCTCGCTCAACTCTCTTTATTGCATATTTTCAAATAAATCAGTTTCAGAATAAAAAATAAATAAAAAAATGTTTCAACAACAGCTACCGATTGCAATGTATTACATGTTTTACATGTTTTACACAGGTTTCTCGGAGTGAGAAAAACGTTAATTTTTGTTCAAGAACGTAATAGTGATAGCAGATTATAGTTTAAATAACAACTTACAGATATCTGATTGAGATTTTGATTAAATTATATGACGCGAGTCTCCATATATGACTTCATGTTCACGATCAATAGTAAAACTAAAACCATGTCAGAAATGTCATCCCAATCCGTGGTACATCAATCTATAATTTAGTTGTGGTTTGGTTTGTTTGTGCTTTAGGTCCTATTTACATTTATGGGTGTGCTTTGTGTTGGTGGTGAAGGAAGACCGGAGTACCCGGAGATAAACCAGCGACCTGTGACCAGTACCTGGCAACTGTCCCACGAAGGCCTCGAACCCGCGACCCAGTGGCGGAGGGCTAGTGATCGTAAAAGGTCAGAAGTCTTAACCACTTGACCACCGTCACCAACTTAAGGGTTGTTATAATGCCAATTAAGATTGATTCTTATTATATGTATATTTTATAAGTACATCTTAATATGTCACTCTGTGAACTGATGAATTACCAATGTTCATATGTCGACAGGTTAAAAAGACACCCGATATTAACTTATTTATTTGATAACAATTATAAAACAAGTTTCAGTAACTTGAATTAAATCATGTTTGAGTCTGTCTATATACCCGCAGGTCAGGGCTTTGGTGACTCGATTGTAGATACACAAATATGGCAACGGTCACTTCCTGGAGGGGGCGTCCCATAACAGAATTAATGTTTCGGAGTAGTTTGATAGTGGTTATGAACATGCAACGTCACATTTAAGCTAAGGAACTTGGTGTATGTATGATAGTAATTATAGAAATAACTACAAGATTCCCATCAAAAATGTATTAGTGTAAGCATAAACTATTCTTTTGATTGATGGGTATATCCAAATAACATTTACACAGGTTTCAAAGAATAATAAATTCGACAAGACAATCATATAATGGACGGCCGTTACCAAGACTATCTTTGTTCAGAAATTGTTATATGCAAAGGGACATAAACCCTATAATGTATACCACGGAACGTAGTGTTACCATTCCTACATTTTATATGCGTTAGAGTTCTTTCCCTTCCCTGTTTCCTGACGTAAGTGCAATAACAGAAAAGGTAACATTAATATAAAACATTTACAGGATAAGTTTTTTATGGAAATGAAATGCTTACGAGCTAATAAATCAATGTGTTTGCCTCTTTTCTGCACACAATATAATCATACTCATAATCATATGTTTTTCTTACAAAGTCATTCTGACGAGGAAATAAATCATTTTGTTTCTCTCTATTCTGTGCATTATCATAGTGTTTGAAATAGTAATACATACCAGGTATTAAATCAATTTGTTTGTCTCTATTCTTTACACAATGATATATTCATATATAAGCATATTCATAATCAATATCTTTAAAAGTTAATTCGTATGAGGTAATAAATATATTTGTATATCTCTCTTCTGCACACAATCATATATTGTTATATAATCAAAATCATTACCTCTGCTTTTACATTGGAAAGTAATGCATACCAATTGTGAAAAGATTCGTGGAGCACAACCATAAAGTGTTTATATGTGACGTTTCGATGACCAGTACGGTATGTTCTCTGTCACCTTCATCAAATAAATGACCAGGGGAGCGTATGTACACAAAGGTGTAACATATGTATGTACAAGATACGGAAACCCAAGAGGGAAAGAAATTCAGCCGATTAAAAAGGAAGCAGTCGGAGTCCCAGATCAATAAATCGGCAATTACAGACCACGTCACACAGAAAAACCATGTGATTGACTAGGATAACTGCAAGTTATTGGACAGAGAGAGCAATCTGTGGAAGCGACAGATAAAGGAAGACATCTGAATATTCCGCAGTGGTCCCGTTCTGAATCGAGATGAGGGGGCTCATAGACTCTTGCACATCTATGACTAGATATTAGACAAAGCGTAGCTAAATCGAGTCGTTCGGTACATATATAACAAGTAATGGTAGATACGCGTACAGCGTAGCCGAATCGACGTCGATTTATTATTGTTTTGTTCAGAATGAACAAGTTTATTATTGTTGTATAGTGCGATATTTTTACATCACAACATAGTATGTTATTTGTACAGTATGTATAAATGTATCATTGTTGTGTAAAGTATGTGGACCTTTGTTGACATTTTTGCTATGACACGGTAAAGTACATGGTTGTTATAATGTTATTCATACACAATGTGCAATTTGTTTTATATAGGTTATTACATTTGAAGTAATTAGATTGGTTGGTAATGCCTACTGTATTATATTTGTATAAAAAAGTGCTATATTGTATGTTGTAAATTGTATATATGACTTTTGGGGATTTAGAATTATAATTGGTACAAATGTAAGAGTTGTCTCTCTTTTTTGTTTAGTTTATTTTTTGTATCTGTAGAATAAGTAATAAGTCCAGAACATATTTATATTTTGTCACCTATATTTTCTTTTCGTTGTCCTAAACGTGTTGCATTGTAATATTTTTTATTTGTTATATTTCTAATAAATCATTGTTGCATCAAATAATATATATTTTGTTTCATTTTGTTCAATTAAAAAAATAAAATAAAAAATAAAATCGAAATTCGAGAGACAGCCATATTGTTGCGCCATTCACAATTTATGACGTCACGTCATTGTCAATAATATGACGTCACAATCGATTTCTGACTAGCACAGCCAAGGAAAAACGTTCCAGTGTATATTACACTAGTGACTTATGTAAAAATATTGCACGGGCGAATTCACTGGATAACAGGTCGATTATGTGATAAATGTATATAATTATGTCATTATACCATGCAAAATGGTATTCTTCATTTCACAAAAGGTAAACAAGCTAGTATATACACACTCAATGATTCTATCAGGGAATCGATTGATGATGTCGATTTAATACATTATGGTTATATGTAACGTTAATACCCTGAGCGCCTCTAATGAAACTATGATTTCATTTGTCTTGTAGAATCAACGAACATACTAACAGCTAGATAAAATCAAAAAAGGGTTTGCATCAAAGAGATATTATAACTCGTAACAATAGTTGGTAAATGGTCAGTCCATTTTCAGTATAATTCATTTGCTTTTATTTTGAAAATTAAACCAACCCCCAAATCTGGCTAAAATTAACAGAACTGAGGTCCGTATGTCACTGTATTGTGCATTTGATGTTAACAGAACGTTAACGATGTAAACCTGCTTCCTGTAAAAGTTTTTTTTTCTCATAACCTCTCAACCATCCTTTCATTCAATAATTTTGTTGTGTGTCTACGGTTTTGCAGTTCAAAAACGTCTATGTCTTGCATTAACCCCGACAACTATTTATAGTGTATATGTTTTGCTTGTTTTACATATCACAGAATTCATCAGGTGTAAATTATTTACAATACTCTGATAACCATGAACCGATCAATAACTGGCATGATGAAATGCCGAGTTTAAACACGGCACAAACATGTGAAACAAGCCTGTTATCGACATAAATAAGGACCTACAATCATTTTTCGATATAACTCCATAGTAAAAGAAGAGTTGTTTTTCTCATACCATCAACATGGAAATTGTCGCAAGATTTGATCCTATTTGGATTTGACATTTTTGCGTCATTAATGCTACTGCAATGATTATGCTATATATTATATATTAACGCTGGTTTAGACAGGTGAATAAAATGTGTGTGTTTTTTTTAAAAGAAAGCAAGAATCATGAGGCAATTCAAGTACTTATTTTTTCAGTAAATTCAAAGCAAAGATTTCTTCTAATTGAAGGCAGACAGTTATAATCATTACACCTATGCCTGCCATGCTGTCATTATTGTTAGTCAGTCATTCCACACCTCAAATACACCTCTGCTGGTCGGGGGTCGCGAAGGGAATACACCTGCTGTTGTCCACTGCATGTATCCTATGAGGCGACTGATGAGCAAACCCCTGCAGTATTGGGGTTTTGCGTTTGTGCCCTCTACTTGGGGACACAAAAGCCACTAAAATAAATCTCCTGCACCCATTGCAGTATTTGGGATATTTATGTTTCTTTCTACCTCTACCTACCTTTTATTTCCTAGCGCCTTGTTTACTTTAGTGTTGAGCGTTCGCCAACGTGAGGTAGATAATGGGTTCTGTCCTCAGGTTGAGACATACCTATAAATGGTAGTTGTTATTCACTGTTAACGTTCAGCATTAAGGGTAATGGCAACAACTGATTCACCTGTTTCCATGATAATGTGACCGGGCGGGGTACTGTGCTGGTACCTGCAGCATAGTATAACAGTAAGATAGCACTATAAATATACAAACTACAAACTATTACAAGGAGGTAAATATAACAACAGATCCTGTCTCCGGCACACATAGACACATGCACGCATACACAACACACATGTATTTTAACGACCTTAGCTGTTAAACCATATCAACCGAATACCTAAAATAAGTGTAAAAATGTTAGCGTAAGCTATGGTCTTGTTTTAACGATTGTTAAAGTCTACATTTAATCTTTATAGTAAATTAAGTAAACGTTTCGCAAGAGACGCAGATATATATAATTAGAATATATGATATATAAATCTCACACCTTTAAAAGAATCTTGTTGTTAATTATGGGGTTTTAATAATCATATATTTACATGTTCACTGCAAGTTGCTCTGTAAGCATTACCAGAAGAAGTTGCGTTATCCCACCTCGAATAATATGAGACAACCGATAGAAGCAAACAGTTAGGCTGTTTGCAGTAATCTCGTTAGCACTGACGACAAATACACTTCAGTACCGAATATGGAAGAGAATATCTATAT